TTACATTTGGGTTACATAGGCAGTACATAGGCAGCCGTCTGCTGCAGGGGTAGTATTGTAATTCCTCAACAAAAAAAACTAAAAATACAATAGGTATGATAGGTGGCACCAACCACAATCTTGCCTCAGATGCAAAAATAGCTCTAGCCGACTCCGGTACCAACAGTTAGTAGAGTTTGTAGTTGGGATAAAAAGGTATCAAACAGTTACGAACGAACAGAACGTCAGGTGTTGAGTGAACGGTACCTGTGGCGTTGAAGCAAAAAGCAGCAAATTTTCTCATGGCCAATGTGTACCACACCGCCACCCCTCTCAGTCCCATTCCACATTTGTCGTTCGGCGTAATCCGAGGTATAACGGCGAACTTCTCTTCTACCCAGCCATATCTGTACAAATGATAGACAACTGTGGTGTGTTTTCTCTGTGAATGTTGTTGCAGAGGATTTAGAAGTTGACAAACGTTTGTCCTTGTGTTCCTGTTGGCTGAGACATGGTTATCACGGCTCTGAAGTCACAGCTAAACAACACTGTCTCTCAGGCCTACTTGCATGTTTCCAGTCCTCGCCTCATCGCTCGCTCCATCTGGGCTTTGGTTGCTATGGTGGTATTCAGTAACAGACAGGCAGCTTTGGCAGACGTGTAGTCAAACGTGTACGTGTCTCCTTCGATGAGCATGAATACGCCAGCAACTGTGTTGCCTTGACTGACCCCTGCAATTAAATGTTTTTAAAAAATCACTTGACAGCTTTATTCTGTCGTTTCTTTCAGACAGGGATGAAAACATTCCAAAATTTAAGTTGATAAAAATTAATGATATTCACAAGTCAAGTGTTTACTTGTAAGAGTTTGTTTATTTAATCAATAAAAAAACTTCCAGACAGATTTTAATGTTGCAGCTCGTTCTGCACTGCAGGTTTGACAACACTGGACAATAAAACATTCAAAGTTATGGCAATGCTTTAAAAAGTGCGATATTTACAGTTACAGTTTGCCAAAATAAGGTTAGTGTTATTAAAACACGACAGAAATGACCCAAGATGTGAAAAATAAACACCAAAATGCTACAAGCTAGTGAAAAATAAGTTAAAACTGAACAAGGTTGACTACAATACAGCTGAGTTAGCAAAACGTACAACAAAAAAACATTAGAAAAGATACCCATAACTTTGCCTGGAAATAAAATACACGAATGAACAAAACAAAGTAAAGACATCCAGGATTTCTACTGTAATTCCTCGACTCCACTGTTTTTTCTTTCTCTCAAATCTGATTCTAATATAGATCTGAGTTGACCAGAATATTAAAAGTCAATTCTGCCTACTTCAGCTACTGTTGCATTAATTCAAATATACCATGTGCAACACAAACGTTCCACTCTGAACCAAACACTCACCTGTTTTGGAGGTAGGAATCACAGATGCAAAGCACAGAAAGAAAATCTCACAGAAAAACCCAAATTGTGTCATGTTTGGTATAAAAAGGTCCAAACTGCTTTGGATGAAAGTAAACAACCAGATAAACCCAAGTCCAGTGAACTGGCTGCTAAAAACCAAGAAGTTTGATTGGACGAGAAGAGGAAACAGGAAAGGTGTGGGTCAGGGCTGCTGCGTGACCTGTGCTGAGACAAGACCCACGTAGACCTTCACAGTCACACTGGTGTTTGGTCTGGGCTGCTGGTTCTCAAACCGTTACTACTCCGTACCACCTGAGAAATCTCTGAGTACCAACGTTAGAATACAGCAGCAGCAGAGACCCTGTTAGCTGTTAGCTGTTAGCTGTTAGCTCCTACCACATGGGAGAGATGTTTATAAATGTTTGTGTTTAAATGTTCTATTAATTTTGTTTCAGATTTATTCAACTGAAAATGTAAACGTGAAAATAAGAATTTTCCCCCGTACCACTGATACCACAGTTTGGGGGGGGGGGCGGGGAACCACAGTTTGAGAACCACTGGTTTAAGCAATTACAGGCCGTAATATGTTATGTTAAGACTTAAGGAACACTAACATCTTCAAATGCAATTGGTATTTCCCAGAAACAATAAAGTAGAATGTCAGGAAGTATTCCGCTTCTTTGTTCGTCGACTCCAACAGGAAGAAAACTACTTCCTATATCTTGTTTGTTTGATTCATTCTTTTACTTTCAGAATGAGACCTCTCTGTTCTGTTCTGGTCCTGTTCTGGTTTTGTTCTAGTTCTAGTTCTGGTTCTGGCTTTGTTCTGTTCTAGTTCTGGTTCTGGTTCTGTTCTGGTTTGTTCTGTTATGGTTCTGTTTTTTAGCTAATAAGCCCATCACAGATTAGTAGGTAATAATGTCACATCACTAAAACAACAACAACAACAACAACAACAACAACAAAGCCCAGCCTCGACTCAGGACTTTCTTGATCTTTAACCACATACTGCTGATATATAAGGATGTTATTCAAATGTTGACTAAACACACGATCATCACTCAGCTGCATGTAGGGGATTGAACCAGTGAA